GAGCCAGCTGACTGTGATTGGCCATTAATTAGAAACAACCACATGAGACCAATCACAGATGCACCTGTTACATTCTACAGCAGCAGATAATTATTGTTTTTCTTTTCTTCTGAGGCTTTTCAGCTCCTCAGGAGAAAAATCCTGGCAAAGGGATTTTTCAGAAAATATCATGGCTACATGTTTCCCTTCCACCTTCTGAACCCCAGGCCCTTTTAGCACAGCAGCTCTCTGGTACATCCCCTGTGTGTGACAATATCAGCAGCACCAGCGGATGCTAAGCAAGAAGGAGGCTCCAGGAAGATTAATTTGTTTGGCACCTCCTTCCAGGAATAATCACCTTGGTCCAATGAGCCAGATAATGAGCAGAAATTCCAAATCCCTGAGTCCTCCCCTGGCTCACTGGCACATGTCCTGGTGCTGGGGCCATTACCTTGGTCAGGTTGTGCTGCTGCAGGGTTGCCAGCTCGTAGGGATCCACGTAGATTCCAGGTGGCAGATGCACCTGAGCTGCTACTGCACATCCTCCTGCTTCCTCCCCCAGCTCCACCTTCACCAGCAGGTCCCTTCAAACAGCAACAGGAGCAAAACATTTACACCCACACTTCAAAAGTGGGGCACAAGACCCATGAGAGACATTTCTCGGATGAGATGAGCTCTCACACCGAGTGCAACTCATTCTGATCACACTTCCCTGTGCACCCTTCTTAACCTCAACCCCACATCCACGGCCAAAATGAAGTTTCACTTCTTTGTTAATGACTCAGAACCACCAATGGCCTCCACAAAGGTTTTAGAAAGGGGCTTCCTATTTTCCCTCCACTACAGCTGGTTAATCCCTTGGTGCTGTTAATACATTCCTAAGGATCACAGCTCAGGGAGTTGCTACAATTCCACATGACAAGAAGAGAAGTTTCTTCCAGCAGAAGATCCTGTGGCACATAATGGTGCTGGAGGGCAGGGAGAGGACTCACCTGTGAAACCCCTCCTTCAGCAGCTCCTGTGTGACACTGGTGACCCGACAGGCTGCCTGCACATCTAAGGTGACACAGAGCCAACAGTGACCACAGAGGCTGGAAAAGTTCTATAACCCACAAACGCCTCATCTGCAAACCTCTCCCAGAAGAAGGGAAGCAGTTCTTGCCTGTGACCAAAGAGCAGAAGAGCTTTCTTGGTTCACTGGCAGAGCCATAGTTCCAGGATGGTTTGGGTTAGAAGAAACCTTCAAGCCCCTCTTGTTCCAACGCTCAGCTTTGGGCAGGGATGCATTCCCAAGACCAGGGTGCTCCAGGTCTGTCCCTGAACATTTCCAGCCACAGCTGCTCTGGGCACCCTGTGCCAGAACTTCCCCACCCTCACAGGGAAGAATTCCGTCCCAAAATCCCATCCATCCCTGCCCTCTGGCAGTGGGAGCCATTCCCTGTGTCCTGTCCCTCCATCCCTTGTCCCCAGTCCCTCTCCAGCTCTCCTGGAGCCCCTTTAGGCACTGACAGAGCTCTCCCTGAACCCTTCCCTTCTCCAGGCGGAACACCCCCAGCTCTCCCAGCCTGGCTCCCTAACCCTGCCCGCCCC